TTTCTCATTTGAAACTCTATTTCTCTACTTCTCTTTATCCACACTGATGTGAATTATAGCTGAGTTTGCTAAAACAGTAAAAGCTGAATATTCATCAATCGGAGCAGCAATGCTGAAGAACCAGAGGTCGTTTCCAGCCGCTTTAACATCTCAAACACACGCTGGGACTCACTGGGAGGCTCTGTGCCTGAGGCCACGCAGTTTCTCAGCAGGATGTCGATGAGTTTGAGGCCGATCCTGGTGGACTGCAGGCCTATTTTCACCAGGACAGCCTCGATGTTGGGAGAGTGCATGCCGCAGTAAGGAGACATGAGCAGTGCGGCGCAGGTCTGCAGCAGGTTGGCTGTGGGCGCCGCGGCGCTGGCCATCATGGCCTCCAGATCGCCCACGTGGGTCAGGCAGTGGTGCAGGAGACGCAGCCACCCGATGCTGCAGGAAAACAAGGGACAGGATCATGGCATCGGCAGCCGCTTTGAACCCAGTGACCGGTTCAGGAGGCGGCGCTTACCTGGTCTTTGAGACTTGGTCCTCGGAGGGCAGGAAGGGGTTGTTGACTGTGGCGGAGGACGTGTTACCGAACGCCGTCAGCCCCAAGAGCTTGATTTGAGACAAACCCAGGGTGCTGGCGTCCCGAGGCCGGTGGAGCCTCAGGCAGACGGCGGAGGCTACCTCTGCCTTCACCAGCTGGATCTTGATGTAGGTCAGGCCGCTGGTGATGACCGGTGTGGAGAGGGGCAGCATGTTGACGCCGTCTGCACTGATCTCCACAGAGACGGAGGAGGGGCACGCTGATTGGTGAAGGGAGGAGGAGGAACAATCAACCAGAGTTTCAATCCAAATAACCGTGTTTAGTCATGACAGGCTGATTCTACTCACTGGCTAAGGAAGCCAGGTGTGGCTGGATGTGGACCTCTTTGAGCAGCACAGCAGCAGGGAGGTGGATGGTGAGGTCACACCACGCCTCCTCTGGAAGGAAGATGTAGGACCAGGCTGCAGAGCGCGCCCGGCGGTGAGGCGGGGTCGCCTGGAGGAGGACCTCTGCCGGCTGGGCTGTGGGGCTGCTGGAGGTGATGGTGCCTGAAGGACGGATGGAGAAACGTCTAAACAGCGTCGACTTCTCCACGCAAACAAGCTGGAGTCTGTTTCAATAAGCAGGTTTACTGGAAACTGAAATCAGGAAAACTGGAAGCTGTATTTCTCTTCTATATTAGTCTCTCATTCGAAGATAACGAAAAAAATCAGGACTGCCAAACTGGACTCAGATTTTGGAAACTCTCCAAGCTGTGACTGCCTCAGTTATCCAGCTTTTCAAACTGCAGTCTATTGTAGGTGGCATACATTTCTATTTTGCTGCATGTTTTTGAAGTTTCCATCTCCTGAAAACTCCTCTCACTACACTGAATGTATGTTTAATTATTACATCTAGGCAGCTTTTATTTTGTTTTTATATGCTTCTGTGTCTCCAAGGAGGTTTTGAATTGGTAGTTTCATTTACCCCATTTACACTACCCTTGAAAAACGGTGCAGAGACCGGTCCGAGCTCAGTAACTGAGATAACTTATCGTGTGTAAATGGAAAGTCAACTGAACTGAACTGAGCTAGACACAACCGGACCGAGCAAACCAGACCAGTTCCAGAGGTGGGCTCGGCTCTGGTTTTCCCTGGCTCGGTTCTCTGATAACAAGAGCGCATGAGCAGAACGCATCATCTCCGTCTGGCTGCACATCGCGTTTTACACTCCATTCCAGTAGTTGGCGGTAACGCCCCTCAGGAAGTTGCTTGCCAACCAACACAAAACAGAAGAAGAACAACAACTATAAACAATCAAAATCTTCTCCACGCAACATTTTAAATAATAACACCGAAGTACAACAATAATAATCAAGCATAACTTTCTGAATGTGACGGGCGCCGCCATTTTGATTTGCTTGATTCCC